CCTCTCGCTAACCATTTTTATTCCGTACTCACGACGACGTGGACATTGATTCTTTTTGAAATTTATTAGAACAATTAGAGTAAAGTCGATTGTTTTTTGGACAGGGTAGCAAAGAGGGCGGCGGTGGCGGCGGGCGGCTCTTTTGCGTGTCGAAGGGCCATTTACCACGGCAAGTAGATTGTCATTGCGGGGCTGACGAACAACACGGGCATAAGAGTTCGATCAAAACGATACCGCCACCACGGCTCTCTCTCTCTCTCTCTCTGTTCCGCGCAGAGCATAAAACAGTTTTATAACTCCCGCGCGGCGCGCTAGAGCTAACACTCGCGGCACGCATCGCGTTACACTACTAACTAAACTGAACCCTCCCATTGAGATTGCAAATCCGCCTCAAGAAATGCTAACCGCCGCCGCCACCACCGCGCAGTGCGTTAGCCACGCCGATCGCACCCAGTATAATATTGGCGGCAATTATTTTTCAATATTAACATTTTACTAATTTCAGCGTCGAGTGTTTCGACAGCATTTTTCTCTCGTTTTTTGTTTTTCATTTTGTTTTGTTGGCAGCGGCGCCCGAGGCGGGCAGTGTGCAATAAGGACCACACGCGGCAGCGCAAGAAGCCCAAAAGAAGCCAGCAGAAAGAGAGACGCGCGCAGAAAAAAAAGAGGCGAGAAGGCGATCGTAAAGCGGGCAAGTGCAGAGCGCGGCGAGTGAGCGGGGCGGGCACCCGAAACCGCCCGAAACTGCCTTGTCTTCATTTTCCCCCTGAGCGCCGCGCGAGGCGGGTACGTACAACACATGCGTTATTTTTAAGACCCACGACGGAGCATGTGTGTGTGCAAGTCTGGGTATGTGTGTGTTTGTGCGGTGCGTTTTTTCTTCAACGAAAATTATTAGTATGACCTTAGCGACGCAGATGTGCCGCCGTTTGCAAATAATTATTATTGCGAGCTCCAGTCATTTGGTGCGGCTTCCGGCACGTACAGTATCTCGTTTACCACGCACGCACACACACACGCACACGCGTGCGTACACATACACACCCCTCTTACACGGGTAGTTATAGATAAATCCGCGCATTAGTGCTGACATGCTGCGAGCGTCCTTCTTCCCAAACTGAGCGTGCTGTTTGTTGTTGTTGTCGAAGGGTTTGCAACTCAATGGGCCCGCCCCCGCGCCGAGCCAGCCTCCCCCATTGTTGTGGGGGTCCATTCGTCGGGGTGCTCCCCGCAGGACGCCCGCAAGGGATACCCGCAGGGCGGCAGCGCCCCGCAGTGCCCGGCGGGGTGCCCCCGACGAGCCCGGCCAAGGTCGGTGTCCGCTGTCCACCACGGTGGTCTTGGTGACCGTACCTGGAACGGCCCCGGGGTGGCGGCGTGCCCGTCGACACGACACCCTGTTAATTGTGTGATTAACCGGAAAAGACGTCGCCGGGCAGGACACTTCGCCGGGGAACATAATCCAAGGGGTAGGTGCACGACGAGCCGGCTGGAACGCCGACGAGCATGTCTTCCTCGTCACAACATCCTGGGTGCCTTCCGATCACACCCACTCACTGACCACAGCACACGTCATTCGACGGACACGTTCAAGACGGTGTCCGCCAACGCACACGTGAACATCCTCAAGCACAAGCTGTGCGCGCCCCCGGCGGCCGCGGAAACGCCGGACGACGACGATGACGACGCCGTTCCTCGACGACAACCTCCTCCTCGGCACACGGTCGCACTCATCCACAACACTATCCGATGCACGTATCCAGAGGGTCGACGTACCGGTGTGCTTGCGCGGGCTCCTCCCCGTGCGGGCCTGCGCGGCCGCGCGCGACCCGCGCGCCATGATGGCCGCGATGGAGAAGTCCGTCGCGCGCACCTTGGCGCCGGCCATGCCTCCCGGACTCGGCGCCAGGATTTGCCCGTCCTCTTGCATGGTACCCAGTAACATCACAGCACTCGCACTTCCCCGCCGACGACACAACGACACTACTCTCCGCGGCGGCGCGGCTCTGCACGTCACCCACTGCGCTTGGGCTCAGTCACACATGTTCACTTCAGCCAGAGGACCTGGACGCACTGAGGCGGGCGCGCGCCCGGGGCCCGGCCCGCTCCCGCACAGCGCCTCCCGCCGCCGCCGCCAGGTGGCGCGCCGCGAGGCACGGCCGCCGCGCGCCATTGGCCCGGCAGCGCCGGGGGGAGGGGCGAGCCGGCCACGGCGAGCGCGCAGCGCGGGCGGGGAGGGGGGAGGGGCGGCGCCAAGCGGCCCCGGGACGGGGAGGGGGGCCGCCGCCGCGTCGTGGAGGGGGTAGCCGTGGCGGAGGGAGACGGCGGCGCACCGGCACAGCGCCGTTTGATCCGCAGCCGCAGCTTCCAGGGGGCGCTTCCCTCACGTGTGTGTGGCCCAGGAGTGACTCACCCTCGCAGGCCGCTCGACTCACCCGAGGCCGCTGAGCGCGCCAGGGTGGCGGTGGTGACGTCTCACGGACGCTGACCCTTGGCGACAGCGGATGGGAGAGGTGCATTATCGCGCTTGCACACCGCGCTGAGAGACGACATTTGAGAAACAGGGTAGCACATTGTCACATTCAACCCATTCAACAAATGCGGTCGCTGAAGCACGTTTTGATATAGGCTAGGTAGCTTTTGAAAAGGCAGCAGTGGGAATTTAATTATTTATTCATTCCGTAATCAAGGCAAAAAGGCGCGAAGATGGCCGTGCATGCTGTAATGTGGCAATTTAATTTTATGCAAACATATTTTTAAAAAATCAACTAAGATTGTTTATAATTTACTGAAGTAAAATTTCTGGGCGTCATGGGGGCCAAACGCTTTGCAATGAGTATTGTCACTGCTTATCAGTTTGCTCTGAACCAACTACCACCCAAGCCCACAATCAAGATGCGTCACCGATCCACATTACGACGACAAAGTACGCAATCGACCCCTCGAACTACAAAAATGAATGTATACTCAATGTAGAGGCATTACAGCGAAAGCGATTCCACACGACACTTCGGCGTAACGCGTGCGCGAATCGTCGCTCGCGGGGAGGGAAAAAAAAGAGAGAGGGAAACGATGTATGGCGTGAGATACAAGCTCGTTATCTTGGCGGAGAATCGCAGTTAAACAATGCGACAATAACGACACCATTCGTCGTAATGGCCTCGCAATGAGCAAGTAACGAATGGCCGATGGGAGCATGAATTTGCGCGTGGGTTCATTGCGACGCTATTCCAGACCCGTTTTGCAAAATATTTAAACAAGTAACAAGTATTTAAAAATCCGATAGAATTAAGAAAAAGTACACGTTTTTAATTTATGTAGTCAAATAAAAGA